CCCAAAGCCAGATTATGAATCCCCCTCTCAAGTTTCCTATTATCCATAAAAAAGTTTGATAATCATTACAGTTACTGAATCGTGCGATCAATAGGAAAATGTCGATTATGGGTTGTCATGAAATCATGCTATTTTCTTTTTTAAACCATCATTTGGTTGATAATTGTTTAACTAAAGAAATTGAAATCATGCCATTTTTTTTAAACCATCATTTGGTTGATAATTGTTTAATTAAAGAAATTAGGGGTATCTAAACAAGTCTTTTGGAGTTGCAAATGTAATGGCTTTACATTTTCTCTCTTTACATATTTCTCTCTATATTGATGGATTGCAATATGTCTATGATGAAATCAAAATACCTATAATTATAATGAGTTTTGATTTTGGTTTCAATTTCATCTTTATAAAATTAGAGTCAGTGGGGAAAGAGAAGGGTCCAAACTTGGACAGTTGCTGTGCTCTGATTTCTAGCACCATTAATATTCTTCATGTTGCTAAGGCTGGTTTTAATATTTAATTTTCTCATTTTAAATACTTCTTTTTTCCTTAGAAAGGTTTTAATGTGATTGCTAAAGTACATCTATTGTAAACAATGAAATGAAGATTAAAAAAAATTATTGTAAACATTGGGTTGACTTTTTTTTTTTTTTTTTTTTAGCTGTTTATATTGTTATTTCTTCTACTCTTGACTAAACAAATCTATTAGATGTTTATATTTTTATTTTTTCTCCTCTTGATTGGATTTTATTATCCCATTTGATACCAAGTGATTTGAAAAAAATATTTGACTATCATATATGGCTGTTAATTTTTTTTAAGGTTGCAGGAAAATTCTCAAGAATATACAAGTGATTTAATACTATTAATTTTTTGTTTCTTGGTGTCTAAATTTATATAACCAAACAATTTTAGGTTGAAATACAACAGTTATGGACAACATCATTATTTTTGGTCAATTTTTTTTTTTTCTTATAAATTTAAGTACGTCACTTATAATGTAAGGCCTATTTTTTATTTTTTATTTTTTAATATATTCTACACATATTTCCGTATAATGTATTTATGCCCGTAATACACTAGGACATTACGGGCATACATACAATTTTCATATAATTATATAAGCAAAAACATTATTATATGTATGTCTGTGAAAATTGTATATATGCCAGACACATCTTTTGATCTAGCTATATATTGTATAAGCAAAAATGAGTTTTTGTGAGGAATTTTATAAGAACTCTAAAATTTTATAATAAATTTGTGAATTTATCAAATTAAAAAATAAATTTAAATAGTATTGAGATTACAATTATATTTTAATCCTAACATTATTTATACCGTACCTTTAGGTACGGGCATATGCTAATATATATATATATATATATATCTATATAATAAGGGATGAAGGTTTTTAAAAATGTATAAAATGTATGTGAGATACATTTCATTTTAAGGGCTCAGATCAATTGTGATATACATCAATGGTTGAGATTTTGCTTCAATTCCCGCCCAGACACTCGGTGCTCTCTCCCACCTACCCACGTCTCCTCCCCCATTCCATCTTTATTTCTTCTCTGTTCCACGTCTCCTTCTCTCTCACCTGATCTCTGCCTTTCCTCCTCTCCCCCCATCCTCCCGCTCGCTACCTCTCCCCCTCTCCCCCCACCCTTTCGCTCGCTCGCTGTCTCTCCCTCTCCACCCGATCTCTGCCTCTCGCTGCCTCTCCCCTCACCCTTTCATAACCCGGGTTTTCGATTAAGAACCGCGATACCTTTCTGAACCCCGATTGGAGCTCTCTGGTAGAGCTACTTCAGAGCTACACCAAACTTGAGTCTTCTATCTGTGCAAGGTAATATTTCTGTCTTTATATCTTTCAATTGATCTACTGTTAATTTCTGAGTTCTAAGTTCTGAGGTCGTTTATCAGATCCCTATTTTTCTACTATTTTCTGTCACTTTCTCGCAATTTCTTGGGCTGTTATGCGTTCTCTCTATCGGGTTGTGAGCAGGTTATTTTAAGGTTGTGAACAGGTTATTCAAATGTTGGTTTCAGGTTATTCAAACAATCTGCTCTATTTTTATTTTGTCTCTATAGTTTAAAACTTCTTAGTTGAATGTTTATATAAATTTTCTAAATATTATGACAACCAAAACTATTCCTTTAACATAAACAGAGTGATACACAGAGTGATTAATCTTCAGAATTATTTTGGGATTAATTTTCTGAATGTTTATATAAACAAACCACAAAGAAATAGGTTATGTTATGTTAAGATAAACAGAGTGATAAACAGGATTAATCTTCAGAATTATGTAAACAAATTATGTTATGTTAAAGGAATACTTTTTAGTTGAATGTTTTGTGGTCATAGGTTATGTTAAAGGAATAGTTTTGGTGGATATAGCAACCATGGTTTAAAGGAATATTATGAAAATATTCGAAGTTTGATTTTTTTATTTTGTATTCAAACAATTTTCCTTATTTTTACAATATGTTTTATTTTTGTATTCAAACAATCTGCTCTATTTTTATTTTGTATATGGAAAGTATTTTTTTCCAAACTTGAAGCCTAGGGGGTATATGAGAAATCGGATTATTCATATTTTTTCACTACAACAAAAACATACTTTAGTGGCATTACACTAGTGGCATATTTTTAGAAAATGCCACAAAAATGATATTTAGTGGCACGTTTTTGAAAAATGTCACAAACGACAAACATAAAAGGCTCTAGTGACATTTCAATGAACAAGTGTCACAACACTACAACAAAAACATATTTTAGTGACACCATACTAGTGGCATGTTCTTAAAAAATGTCACAAAAAGAATATTTGGTGGTATTTTTAGAAAAATGTCATAGAGCCACAAACATACAAGGCTCTGGTGGCATTTCAATTAAAAAAAGTGTCACGTCATTACAACAAAAATGTCACTACAACAAATTTACACTTTAGTGACACTACACTAGTAGTATGTTTTTAGAAAATGCCACAAAAATAAAAATTGGCATTAAATGTTTTAAAAAAATGCCACAGAACCACAAAACATATAAGGCTCTAGTGGCATTTCAATAAAGAAATGTCACATCAATTTTATGACATTTTATAAAATAATGACACAAAAAATTATGTTCGTGACATTTACCAACAGATGCCACTAAACTTTAGTTGCAATGGCATTTTTTAAAAAATGTTAGGACACTAGGTAGGTGCAAATTACTTTTTATGGCACTTAGGTGAAAAGTGTCATAAACAAATATTTTATAGCATTTTGAGAAATGCCACTAAGTCAAAAACTTTCCAAACTTATAATGACATTTTTGAAAAAACAAAAAATGCCAATATATTTTCTAAATTTTTAAAATGCAGTAAATGATTAAAAATAAATGAATTAAACTCAATATACACTACAGGAAAAAGCATATTCGGTGACTAAATTTCCTGATCAAAACAGCATTAGTTGCCAAAAGTAAAGCTTTTTGGCGACTAAACAATTTTAGTAGCCAAAAGTCTAAAATTGGCGATTAAAACTAAGTTTGGTCGCTGATTATATGAGTTTTAGTGACTAAAAAATTTTTAGTAGCCCAAAGTAAAGCTTTTTAGTGACTAAACAAATTTAGTAGCCAAAAGTCTACAATTGGCGACTAAAAATTAGTTTGGTCGCTGATTATATGGGTTTTACCGACTAAAAAAATTTTAGTAGCCAAAAGTAAAGCTTTTTGGTGCCAAAAAAAATTTTAGTAGCCAAAAGTCTACAATTGGCGACTAAAAAATAAGTTTAGTCGCCAAAAGTGGTCATTTTTAGCGCGGGAGAACTAAAATCCTAAAGTGGGAATAAAATTTTTTGGTGACCAAAATTTTGGTAGCTGAAAGTGCATCTTCGGCGACCAAATCCGATTTTGGTTGACAAAAGTTAAATTTTTTAGCAACTAAAAAACAATTAGTAGCCAAAAGTATAGAATTTTTTAGTCGCCAAAAGTGGTCTTTTTTTTTTATTTTGGTAGTAAATAGTTTATTTTACATAAATTATGTTCAATAAAATAATTATGTTTATACATATACTTTTATATTAATATAGATGTATGTACTATATAAATAATATATGTTGCATATATAATCATGTGGTGCAATAGAGGTGTAGTGGGAAGAGTGTGGTGTATAAGGTTTATGATGCGGAAGGTTGGCGGTTCGAGTCTCCGCAAGAGCGGATCAAATTGTTCTACAACGAATTATCGTCATGAATGGCACTTGATAGCGTCACGAATAGTGCTTACCATGGCATTAAAGTGTCACTGAAAGGTTTTAGTCTTGATGGTGTAATGACACTTACAAGTGTCACTAACTCTTTTTTTAATGGCGCTTGATAGTGACACAAATAATATCTACCATGACATTAAAATGTCATTGAAAGTTTTCAGCCATGATGGTGCAGTGGCACTTGCAAGTATCTACCGTGGCACCGATAGAAGTGGCGCTTGTTCAAAATGCCACAAGACCAAAAAATGTTATTAGAAGAATAGTTTTGTGGCACTTTCAAATGTCACTAAACTAAGAAAATGTTGTAGCGTGTTTTTAGTTTTATCAAGGATTTTCGGGTAATTATTACATATCCAATAAAGTGTATTTCATATGAGGCAATTTTTTCATTGTAATTGGTTTAGACAAAGGAAATTCATTACATTTATATCAGTGTTTACATGACAATAATATATGGTACTCTATTTGCAATCAATAATTTTATAAACTTTTATTTATTCATATATATTTTGTGTTTAATAATTTTTATATTTGTAAAAGAATTGTTAACTTAAACATCAAGCACTATTAAGGTTGACCTTTTGGAACTTTTGAATTACCTAAGCAACACTTCGCTTGGAATTTGGAAAGATGAGAGCAAGTGGACAACTAATATACGCTAGATTTAAGGGCACATTTGCCTTCCCTAATTTAGAACATCTATAAAAACCAGAATTACTATGAATCCAAATGCACACAGACTCCCAACAATTCTAATTGCACCAAAGATCAAAATGGCTCAACCTATGGTGCCCCTTTGTGTGTGTCTTGTACTCCTCATGGTGGTGGTGGCTGACGGAGCACCAAAAGCACCTAAACCTAAACATGTCAAGTGTAAAGACAAGAATTTCCCTATTTGTCGGCAAAACAAGAATCTCCATTGCCCTTTGGATTGCCCTCGCAATTGCACTGTAGATTGTGTTACTTGTCAAGCCGTGTGTACGGCGCCACCACCACCGCCGCCGCCACCGCCACCGCCATCACCTCCGCCATCGCCTCCACCGCCACCAAAACAGAAAAAGCCACATTCACCACCTCCTCCTCGTAGTCCACCGCCACCAAAACACAAAACGCCACATTCACCACCTCCTTCTCGCACACCGTCGCCACCATCTCCTATTTCCACTCCACCGCCACCTCCTACTGAGGTTCCTACACTGCCACCTCCTCCTAGTGTTCCTACATCATCACCACCACCTCCTCCTTCCAATGTGCCCACATCCCCTCCTACTCCTATTTCTACTCCACCGTTGCCACCTTCAACTCCGCCACCTTCGACTAATCCCAAGAAAGCCAGATGCATGAATAAGGCTCATGAAACGTGCTACCGGAGAGAGTTTACATGTCCCATTGCTTGTCCTGAGCAATGTGAGGTTGATTGTGTCATATGCAGTCCTGTTTGCAGTAAGTTTCTCTCTCTCTCTCTCTCTTTTTGGCCCCTCTTTTAAATGAAAAATATTTTGTATAAATTAATTTTTTTATCTAATTCCTTAGAATAAGCCTACAAAAACAAAACTGTCACAAAATTAGATATGCCATGTATATGAACAACTAATAGATATTTTAAAAGTGTTCCCATCCCACTAATACACCACGTAAATCTTATATATTGATATGTATTTTTTGTGACGATATAAATATCTCATTATTAATTCTTTAATCATGTTATCAAGATAATCAGGAGCTTATTTGCCGTATAATTTATAAGTTAAAAACAAATTCTAAAAATATGTCTCCCATATTAATTTTTTAAAATTATTTTTCTTACCATTAAAAAAACTACTATACTAAAAAATTACATATTTAAGCTTTTGAAATTGATTACCCGCGCAGACTGCAATCCCAAGCTTTTTAGCCCAGGCTAAAATAGCCAAAAAAGCCAAAAAACCAAAAAGCCAACCCACTTCCCAAACGGAGGCTAATACATCTCGTAAATCTTATATATTTATATGTATTTTTTGTGTGACTGTATAAATATCCCATAATTAATTTTGAGTCATGATAGAGATCCCCTCTAATCACCACCCCCACAACCCCCACAGACACGTGACGGGTGGTGATTGGAGGAGCAGGGAAAAAAGAAAAAAGAAAAGAAAATGTAACCTAACCAATGTGAGAGAGAGGGGGTCAAAGGGAGTGAGGGAAAAGGGGGCATGAAACATTTTTAATTAATTTTTAATCATGTTATCAAGATAATTAGGAGCTTATTTTCCGTATAATTTATAATTTAAAAACAAATTCTAAAAATATGTCTCCCATGTCAATTTTTTAAAATTATTTTTCTTACCATTAAAAAAACTACTATACTAAAAAATTACATATTTAAGCTTTTGAAATTGATTACCCGCGCAGACTGCAATCGGCCGGGAGCAGTTTGCCAGGACCCACGCTTCGTTGGCGCGGACGGAATAGCGTTCTACTTCCATGGCAAAAAGGACCAAGACTTCTGCATAGTCACCGATTCCAATCTCCACATCAACGCTCACTTCATCGGCAAACGCAACTCCAACATGAAGAGAGACTTCACATGGATCCAATCTCTCGGAATCCTCTTCGACTCTCACAAACTCTCCATCGCTGCCCAAAAAACCGCAATCTGGGACGACTCTGTCGATCGACTATCCCTCTCCTTCGACGGCGAACCGGTCCTCCTCTCCGCCGTCTCCGGCGATACCTGGCAGCCCTCCGCCGTCTCCGGCGTCTCCATCACCAGATCTCGCGATGCCAATTCAGTGGTGATCGAAGTCGAAGGGAATTTCAAAATTAAAGCGAATGTTGTTCCGATTACTGAGAAAGATTCGAGAGTGCACAACTATGGAGTCACCGAAGAGGATTGCTTCGCACATTTAGACCTAGGGTTTAAGTTTTACTCGCTCAGCGGCGGCGTTAATGGCGTTTTGGGGCAGACTTACGGCGGCGATTATGTGAGCAAGGTAAAGATGGGGGTTGTGATGCCGGTTTTGGGTGGTCATAAGGAATTTGGATCTTCGAACCTCTTTGCTGTAGATTGCGCTGTTGCGAGATTCAATGGGAGCTTCAATTCGTCAGAGGGTTTCGAGTATGGTGATTTGAATTGTGGAAGTGGAATGGATGGTAGAGGAGTTGTATGCAAGAGATGAATCAATCTCTCTGTCTCTCTATCTCTCTGAGTTTATACAGAGAGGTTTCATACTGTTGTGTGCAAATAAGGTCAGGATCTAGTCAGAGTTCTGTGGCCACTGCTTTGAATGATTTCCAAAAATAAGGATTTTCTCCTGGAAATTAGTTTGTTTTTTTTTACCTATGTGTTGTATACGGATTATGGAACTACAAGGACTAAAATTTATTTGTACGGTTTGTTTGGATGGAAATAATTTATGATATAGTTGTTTAACAAACTAAGAAAATTAATTACAAATTTAACATGTTGGCTTTTTTAAAAGCGGTAATATCTTTTAGAGTGAAATAATAGAGTGATCTCTTACAGTGAATTTATAAGGACGCAACACCTGTCTCACTAATAGAACCAAGGGTTGAGATCAATTTTTCACCAAAATAATGTCGTTTTGCTGGGGAAAACTAACAAAAAAAAAAAAAAAGGAAAAAAACCAAAAAAAAAAAAAAAAAAAACATGAAATGAGAAACGAAGAGAGAGAAAGGACACACAGCCACCAGAGTCCTTCATCTCCGGCGCACTCTCCTGAATTTGATCTTAACGCCTTTCGCTCAAGCATGAGAGAGAGAAATTAATAAAGAATAGTTGCAAGAGAATAGAGAGAGAGAGAGAGAGAGAGAGAAACTTTGGGAGATATACAGAGCAAGGTATTTCAAAGTTCCAGGCTTCAATCACAACCTTCTCTTAGAGACCCCTCTTTGAGAATGCAGATCTTTCTACAAATGTAAACTTCTCCAAGATCTCATCTTTCAATTCCCCTATCTTTCTATGCATGTTCTCTCTGAATTACTGTCTTTCAAATCTGATTTTCCCCTTCCCTCATTCGCCTGATCAGAAAATAAATGGAAGATAAGATTTTGTTTCATATATAGACAGTGAAATTATGTGATTTGAAACTTCAATTTAGTTTCTCTTTACTCATTCATTTTAACCTTTGTATACTTTTAGATTTTGGGGTTTTTGCTTAAATTTTATTTTATCTTTGTTCTGGGGTTTGGGATTGTTGGAAAAGACCCAAATGGATTTCTTTATTTCTTTCGCCAAAGCAAGCTTTTATGTTTTGTACTTGGTAATGTGTTTTTGGAATCTACATTTTGGAACACTTCTGGTTGTTTTCACCAAAAATTTCTACATTTTCTTCAACTAATTTCGCCTATAATATGTGTGTGGACCATATCATTTTTGTTTTTGCTTTTGTGTGTGTGTTTAAGGCTTCTTACGCTCTAAGCCACTGTCTTTTCTCTCGCATCCACTCCCAGAGTGTTCTTGCTTGAGGTGTGGGACTACAAAAGCGTCATTCCATGCTTCGAGTCCTTCAACTCAATTGCAAGTCGAGGCTGCTCTTGGAGTTACCCATCATTGCCTTGCTTGGATGGATGGTGATTCAATCTCACAATCAAGAGATAAAGAAACAAAAGACGATCTTGATGAGGAGAAGGGGAGGGATGGGGTCGCCAGGAGGGAAGGAGAGTGCACCAGAGATGGAGAAGAACTCCGGTGGCTGTGTGTCCTCTCTCTCTCTTTTCGTTTCTCTTTTCACATTTTTTCTTTTACTTTTTTATTTTTAATTTTCCCCACCAAAACGACGTTGTTTTGGTAAGGGATTGATCTCAACCCTTAGTTCCATTAGTGGGACAGGTGTCATACCCTCATAAATTCACTATAGGAGATCACTCTACTATTCCACTCTAGAGGATCTTAACGCTTTTTTAAAAAAAGGGGATTAAATTCCAATGAGAGCAATATTGTTGGTTCTTAATAGGCTCATTTTAAGATTCATTTTAGTGATCTAAACTGTTCATGTAAAAAATTATAATTATTGAATATTCGTAGTCGTAGGATGAAGACACATTTGTTTTGAAAAAATAAACAATTTATTTTTAAAATTATAATTGTTGTTCATTTTTTAAAGATAAATGTAACATGATTATGTAGTTATCGATATCTAATTATCTTATTTTTTTGCATAGATAATACACTTGACAATCCATATAAATGAATTGTTTAAATCATTGAAGTGAATCCCAAGATGAACCCCTGAATAATTCTCTCCACCCTCCTTTAAAAAATTAGAATGGTACTATGCAATTGAAAATGTTATGTGTGCTATATGAAATTTACAATCAAAACAGTTGTGAAATATATTCCAAAAAGAAGAAATTGAATCCTCGGCTTAACTACTCATGCTTTTGAAATTTAAAAGAGTAGTTGTGGGAACCGAAGAAATCTACAGCTTCTCGGCTAAAGGCGCTAAGCCGAGGAGAGATGTGCACATGGTAAATAGTCGACATCTTGACTTCATGTCTCGTACAAGGGTTACCCGCCAAAGAGGAGGGATTTCCCAAAGAAGCAAGAAGGGTTAGTCACATCCTAGGAGAGGGACAAGTGACATCACCAACAATAAGAATCAGTACCCAAATGCAGGGCCAGTTTTGAGTTGGCGAACGATTAAAATGGGGGCCACTTATATATAATGACAAAAAAAAAAAAAAAAAATCTTTGTGGAAGAAACGAAAAGTACTTATTTTACTAAAATTTACTTACTTACAAAAGACATGAAAAAACATTACAAAAACTCAAAAGGATAAAAATATAACACCGTTGCTTTATAGTTAGCAAATTCTATTTCAAAAAAAAAAAAAAAATTAAACTAAACTAAACTAAACAAATTAACTATCAACTAATGGTGTGTTTGGTAACGTTTACGTTTTCAATTTATATTTACAAAAATTTTATAAACTGGTTTTTGTTTATGTTTTGTTTATTTTTAGAAAAATATAGACTATAAACGCGTTTGGTAATTGACAAAATGTTTAAAAAATTTTAAAAATATAAAAAAGAGTAAGAAATGGCAAGTGGCGGCGGAAGACGGTGGTGGAAAGTGGTGACGGTGGGTGGTGGGTAGCTGGTGGTGGTGGGTGGTGGTGATGCAACCTAATTCCACTGTGGTGTAAGATTAACAGTCCCCTGGGAGTAACAATTCAAAAGTTCATAAATCAACTAAACAAATTGCAAGTGGGGTCCATTTCATTTATAGTCCAATCCCACATTTTTTTATTTTTTATTTTTTATCAATAGAATTTTCCAATAACACCCTTGAGTCAGCTAAACAAACATTTTGTCAAATCCAAAGCTATACTTTCTGGGACCTATGATGTAAAATGTGAAAGGCAAAAAAAAAACGAGTCAACATAAGGCAGGACTAGAATTCCTAGGCTGACAGTGGGTAGGCATCCCTGCCAAAGTCAGTCTAGGATAGTTCGAGTTTGGCCTGACAGCCCAGGTCTAGACTAGGTCAGGAAGTTTTAAGATAGAAAAGAGGCAGAAAGAAGCACACCCAAGAAGGGCGTAGACCCAGTTAATCCACATTCCTATATTTTATGCTCAACCACCTCCTAGGGGGGCGGGGGGTGGGTGGTGATGGTGAGTGAGTGGCAGGTAGGTGGTGGTGGTGGCGGCGGAAGACGGTGGTGGAAAATGGTGGTGTGTGGTGGCTAGTGTTAGGTGGTAAAAAATAAAAAATAAAAAACTCAAAACTCAAAACGGAAACACATTTTTTGTGTTTTCATTTTTTTGCTAAATTTATAAATTGAGACCACTGATTTATAAATCAAAAATTTTACCAAACAAGCTTTTATTTGAGTTTTTAAAATTTTTGTAAATATAAATAGAAAACTAAAAACATAAGTGTTACCAAACAACACCAAATATTACTATTCTTGCATTTTTAGATGCAAAAGTACTAATTAGGCTTCCATAATCTAGCTTATCAACTATGGTAATACTTGTTTCCAATGTTTTCTCTCTAGTGATTTGTTATTCTTGCACACTTTTATCAATTGTTTCTTCTTCTGCAATCTAACTTCCATTCAATCCATTTGCACCGGTAAATAATGTGCTCATAGCTAGTTTCATGACTTCCAAGTCTCTGACTAAGATTCTTCCAATCTTTAAATCCACCAGTAGCCAACTGAGGCCTTGTATGGGAAGTTGGTTATTTTAGTTTTTGACTATTTTTGTAGGCTAAAATAGTTGTATTTGGGAAGATGGTTGAATTTTTTTTTTTTATAGTTGGATATGATGTTTGTGAGAGAAAAAATGAAATGATTATGAGTTTGATGTAACATTTTGTCTTATTGACTATTTTAGCCTATTTTCTCTTTTTGTGTATTTTAGCAAAAAATAAATAAAAATTTCCAAACCCAACCTGCCAAACACCCCTAAATATTGTTTCCATCTTAAAGCATTAGAATTTACCAACCATTTTCTGTCTTGTTTCTCTACATTTGGTAAATGTGAAATGTAATTTGTAGAGGAGAAATGTTTAGCAAATTCATCATTAGGAAAATCCACATCGGCACCTCTTATACGGCCTCTTTCTACCAATAAATCTCTAATTTTTTTTCAATCTTGTCCCAATTGCTTGGATCTTAAATGTTCAAGGGTCCACAGTCTATAGTGAAATTTTCTTTTTGATTAGGTTCTTCTTTCACGGAATCTTCATTGTCATTCAAGTATTGATTGGATTGTTCATTTTTTTTAGGTTTTTCACTCACAAGATCTTCAAAGTCTTCATCAATATGATCTTCATTATCAACTGAATCTATACTCTTTGTTTGTTTCTTGTGAGTTAAAAACTTATGAAGAGTTCCTTTTGAGATTGAATTAATTCTTCTACCTTTAGGCCATGTTTATTTGGCGGATTATGTTAGATGAGATTATGAGTTCGGTGAGATTGAGTGAGAAGATTAGTAGCGTGATAGTATTAAGTTGGAAATGTATGATAAAGTGTGTTTGTTTATACACTACTAGATTAGTAATATCATGACAATAATTATTGTTTATTTTACCATCCTTCAATGAAATTAATATATGAAATTTCATAAATACCCTTATTATAATTTTGTATGATTTTATGTATTTTTATTTTATTTTATTTTATTTTTGGATATTTTAAGTATTTGTATAAAAATTATTCTAAATAATAATATTATATATTAAATTATAATATTATTATAATAAGATGAAGATTCTGTGATGATCCACCATATATATATTATAATTATAATATAAAACAAATAAAAAAGACACTTGCTCATTGCCTGGGACACTACTGTTGGATTACAAACCCACCTCCAGCTAGGGCAACCTAATTCCACTGTGGTGTAAGATTAACA